AGGGAAAGCGGGAAAACTGATAGGAAATGGGTGCGAAGCGGGGCAGAACCGGGCGTAGCGGAGCCCTTGGCTCCCGTCTCCCCCGGAGCTGCGGTCCGGACCCTGCCCGGGCAGCCACAGGTGATGGATTTGCTTCCTTCCTTCCTTCCTTCCTTCCCCCCGTGGCTCTGGCAGTGGGTTTGGGCACGGACCCTGTGCGGGGGCAGCAGCAGCAGCAGCAGCATCCCGGGATGGGCCCGGGTGTCCCCGGTGTCACCCACGCCGTTCCGCGGGGGATGGGGACGCGGTGGAGCCGCTGCCAATTCCCACCACGGGAGCGGCTCTGGGGGCTCTTGGTGCCTCCCCTGCCACTCGCTGCTGGCGACACTGGGAGCGCTGGGGGGCCGGAGCCTCCCGGGAGAGCCGCTGACCCCTCCTGCCCCCGGGCTCCGCTCTCCCGGCACGGGCACGGCCTGGATTCCTGCGCCGGGGCAGGACGGACCCCTCCAGCCCGGCACTGCCCGTGCCAGGCACGGGATGAGCTCCCACTGGTGAGCGTGGGAGCAGCTGCTGGGCAAACTGGTTTGCTCTGAGCCCTCTGCTGCTGCCCGGGCTCATCCTCACGGGCGGATAACCGGGAGCTGGAGCTGGCAGCGCCATTTGCTGGAGCAGGGGCATGGGGGTGTCTCAGGAGCTGTGGGAAGCCCTGCCGTGACCCAAAAGCTGCTTTTTCAGCTCAGAGCGTGCCAGGGTGAGAGCAGAGGCCGCCGCAGGGATCTGCATCACATATCCACAGGGCAGTGACCACCCCGGGGCCGCCAGTCCCTCGGGAATTGCTGCTGTGCCCTTGTTGGATCTCGGTCTTCTCAGGGCTGAGCTCTTTTGGGATGCTCTTGCACGTGGAGCTCAGTTTATCTTAGTTTTGTGTTCGGAAGGATGCTTTAACGCTTTGCTAGGCTCTTGTTTTTCGCGTTTATTAATGTATTATTAAAAGACTTGGCAGGTCTTTTTTAGACTTTTTGTTCAGCTCACTATCGCCTGGTTTAAATTGGTTTGAATGGCGTAAAATGGCTTCGAAATACGCGGTTCTTTTATCTTTATACTCATTTTTACTCAACAATAGACACGTAAATTATTTTTCTTAGTGACTTAACACTTGTGTGCTGCACTGCAGCATTCTTTATTCAATCATTTGTTACTACTTAAATACTTGGAGAAGAAGAAGAAGAAGAAAGAAGTTTTCAGTTTTCTAAACTAGTTCAAACTCTAAACTTGAACTTTTTCACCCAATGACTTAGGAAAACTCTCTCATTTACATACACTTTTAGTTTTTCTACTCAACAGTTGTTTTCATGGTGTTATATGAAATTTAGTGTTTTCTTGGATGTCAGAGCCAGGTGTCAGAGATAAGGGCACGCACTCTGTGCCTCTGGCTCCAATGATGCCCTGGCTCATCCCAGCACCCAAACATGCAGCACGGCCCTGAGGTGCCTGGGGATGGTTTTTTGGGGCACTTTCACCAAGGAAGAATGGATTCCAGATTCCACACAGCTGCTGGAAGCCCTGCTGTGATCTGAGAGGCACCAGCAGCACCTGTGAGCTGATCCCCCCCCCACCATGGAAATGGTTTTTTATCCCCAGGCTGTGCTGGGCCTGGCTGTGGGGAGTGAAGCCAAGGGAAAAATGCTTGCTGTTCCTGTTGGGAATGTGCTGTACACAGTCTGGGAGACAAATAAAATAAAATGGAGGTATGAGATTATTTTTTTTGTGTGTGTGTGTTTTTTTGAGAGGTTGAAGTTGGTGGCTGGGATGCTGCTGGCCCAAAAAGGGCTGGGAAAAGCAGGCACTGGGAAATCAGCAGCCCTGCAGGTCTCAGAGGTGGCTAAAACAGACACTTTCAGTCTTTTTATAATGCTTAGTGGAGCAGTGGCCAGGTAAAAGTTGGAGCTGTTTTATTCAGTGCCTCGAGTAATTCTCATTGGGTTTTTCCCACGGCAGCCCTACATTCCCTGGCTGCAATGAAATAATGTTTTCCTGGAAGCCACCTCAGAATTCCTGCATTGCCACTGAATTCCTCCCTAAAGCCAATGAGTTCTGGAGAACAGAGCAGATAGGATTTGTTGTTTTCAGCAAGAAGGCTGGGAATTAAAAAAAAAAAACCAAAAAAACATAACTGAATCAGGAACTTTGCTGCTTCCTTTAAATTTTTTGGAATGGATTAGAGAGGTGGGAGGTAAATCCACCTCAGGGCTCTGAGGGCAGGAGCAATGAGAGCTGGAAAATAAAATTAATTGGTAATAAAATAAATATTAATAATGATAATACCGTTTTTTAAAAATAAAATTGTTATTAAAAAAACAAATAAAAATCCCCAAAATTCAGCTGGTTTATGCCCAGGCTGGCAAGGGCTGGATGGAATCCCTGGGGATGTGATGCTGGCTGGCATCAGGCACGAGCAGCCCGAATTTTCCAGGGAATCTGGTGTTTTTAGTAAGAGGATTATGGTTTGTGTTGTTTTTGGACAGCAGTTGAGTATGTTTGGGTGGCATTAATTAATATTTTGGAAAACAAATGCCAAAGGCTGGCTCTAACAGGAGGGTGGTGGGTAGATCCAGTGCCTTGGCATCAGTGGTTTTGCTGCTCCAGTGCAGTCCCAGGTCAGTGGGATCTTTGGGGAGGAAAAAAAAAAAAAAACCAACAGAAAGTTTTCCTCTCTGTCCAGTTTTGTACCCCAAAAGAAGAGGGGCTCTGGCAGGAGATGGGCAGGGACTGTGCCAGCCAAATCCACCTTGTTTCTCACACTGCAGGGAAACTCAGCAGTGATGCAGGGGCTGCCAGTGCTCCCCAGAAAAGGGATGAGCCGGCTTGAACAGGGAGTTCTTGTCGGTTTTGGCTCTGTTTTATCACTCTGCTCCGTCTCTGTGCACCCAGGTGTCCTCACCTGCCTCCCTTGCTGGATTTGTTGTACACAAAGCTGCCGCATTCGGGCTCGGGGGATTTTCCTGCTGTTTCTCGGCTGGCTTGGCCACCCTCCAAAGAAGCCCGAGCCGGGGTTTCCTTGCCTGCAGCACCCCCAAAACCCCACCCGTGCTGGGGAGGGCTCACGGGGGCAGGCTGGGGGTGCCCAGGGTCCCCCTGTTGGCTCCAGGGAGCTGAACGCTCCAACACCCACAGACTGCTGTCCTTGGGGGCGTTGGATGTGTGCTCTCCTTGCTGTCCCTCAGTGTTTTAGAGCTTCAGCTCCCAGGATCTGGGATCCCAGGGCTGGGATGTGCATGTGGAGGCGCAGCTGCTCCTCTTTCCCACCCTCCCCGAGGGCGAACAAAGCCTTTCCACCATCAGCGGGGGGACTTCTCTTTATTTGGGCTGCAGGAACTGCAAGGGTGGCAGGGAGCTGTGGGCTCGGTGACAGCTTCCATCTGCAGGACGCCCTCCAGCCCGGCTCCCTGGTGCTCCCTTGCCATGTCCCGCAGTGCTGCGTGCTCACAGAGCTCAGCCTCGTGCTCTCGCTCCTGGAGAAGCGATCCCTGCCGCCGGGCCCCTAGGCCAGCAGGCAGGACTCCTTGTCACACGCTTTCCCCAGCTCCGAGCTCACCTGGGGAAGGAGGGAAGAGCCGAGGGGCAGTCCCGCTGCTGGCTCTGGCCCCTCGGCGGCACAGGAGGGGCAGGAGGGGCCGTGCTCCTACCTTGGAGGCGCAGAGGAGCGGGGGAGCCTCCGGGAGGCAGCAGGTGGAGGCGAAGGATGCTCGCTGCTCCAGGAGCTGCTCCAGCTGCGCCGGGCTGGCCTGGGGCTCCGCTTGTTTCAGGTTTTCCCGCAGCCTGCGGGCGTGGGGAGCCAGCTTACAGCGGGAGCTGCGGCATCCCGGCCCCACGCGGCTTTTGGGGAGGGAGGGGGGGGATGATGCACGCCCGGGTGGGCTCCGCTTTGCATCCTCGACGTTTCGGACCAGCTCTGATTGCGTCCAGTCATCCAGGTGGGTTTTGTCGGGGGAGAAGGCAAAGGCTTACCTCTTCTTGAACTCAAGGAAAGGCAGGTTGTTGTACTGCCCGCAGAGCTGGCTGGCCTTTCCCAGCAAGGGGAGCAGCTCTGCCTTCAGCCGCTGGCGCTGGGGGCAGAGGGTGGGAGTCACCAGGCTGGGAAAAAGCCTCGGCGGGGATTTGGGGAGCACTGGGATAAGTGGGGAAAGGATGAGCCCCCAGAAGCCTCACACCACTCACCTTGCTGTCCAGGCAGGCGGAGGGGTCCTTGGTGGAGCAGCACCCGGCCCGAAGTTTCCCGGAGGAGTCGTAGAGCTTGGCGAGGACGGCGTCGGGGATGCTGGGCTGCCTCCGTGCCAACTCGAACAGGAACCTGGAGCGGGCAACGAGCGATCACCGGTGAGTTTTCATCATGGGTGCTGCTCAGAGCAGTGTGGGGCCGCTTTGGGCATCTTTGTGCAGCCCCTGGGGCACAAATTCCCCTGAGGGAACCGAGGCTGTTCCCCCGGTTATCCCCATAATGAGCTAAGCACGTAACAGGGTCAGGAACCGGGTGGACTCGATGATCTTCGGGGTCTTTCCCAGCTTGGAGGGTTCTGTCCCGTGACTGCACCGCTCACCTGGTGGCATGGAGAGCCCCCTCCTTGCCACACAGCTCCTTGTTGGTCGGCTCAGATGCCTCTGGCAGCTTGGGAGCCGGCGCTGGGAGCATGGCCAGGATGCAGAAATGGTTTTCCATCAGGTCTTTCCCTTGGCAGCAGTCGGCGAAGCGCCCGTCCCGGGCCGACAGCGCGGCGCAGACTTTGGCCGTGTGCTCCAACAGCTGCGGAGAGGGAGCAGGGGATGTGCAGGTCCCCCCCTCAGCTCCCTGAGATCCTGCTGGGACTCAGGAGCTGGTTTGGGCTGGGATCCAGCCTCCCCTACCTTCTTCTGCATGCAGTCCTCGGCCAGAGAGTCGCAGCACTGGGAAGCCACCTCGGCAGCGTCTTCGGCCAGGGGGAGAAGGTCCTCGAAGGAAGCACTGGGAACCTTCTGAGCCAGCGAGGCCAGGTAGCTGCAGAGCACAGGGAGTGTGGGGCTCAGGGGGCTTGGATCACCCTTCCCTGGAAGCAGCTCCCAGCAGGGATGCGGGAGGGAGGGAGGGGATGGGGAGCACGGGGATTGCCCTGCACCTGTGGTGTGCATGGAGCATCTCCAGGGACTGAGGGCAGAATTACAGCTTATGTTTCTGAATGCTGCCTGCCAACAGGATCTGCAGCAGGAGAGGGGAATCCTCTCCCAGCCCGGCCCCTGTTCCAGGATGGAGAGGCCCTTTCCCCCTGTACCTGAAGCTGACTTTGTCCTTCCCATATGCCGAGAAGCGGGAGCAAATCCGGTTCGACGTCAGGGTGAGTAGGGAGAGGCTTTTCCTCTCCAGTTTCTGCCACAGAAAGAGAGTGGAAATGTCCTCCTCTTCCCAGGGCCACTAGCACAGTGCTTGCCTGGCTCCCCGGGGAGCGAGGATGGGGGCGAGCCCAGCGCTCCAAAGGCTCTCACCTCCTTCAGGAAGCAGGCAGTGGGTGCAGGGGAGATGCAGCAGGTGGAGACCATGGAGAGGAAGGTCCTGGTGGAGCCCAGGAGCACAGGCAGGGGAGCCTGGCTGTAGCTGCTGGCGTACTCATAAAGAAACCTGCGGCAGAGATGGGATAAGGAGACCCAGCGCCTTGGGATCAGGGGATGGGGAGCATGAGAGCGGGGTTTGGATGTTGTCCAGGGATGGGAACCCTCTCCAGGTACCACCTCGAGCTGTCAGCTCATGGCACTGGGCTCAGTGGGTCCCCAGCCTGGCTCACCTATCCGCAAATTCCCTGGGATCCTCCCGGAAGGCCTGGCACAGCTCCTTGTCGGAGGGCTGGAGGTACCGGGGCAGGGGCTGGGGCGGGTGCCGCAGGGCAGCCAGGCACAGCTTCCTCTCCAGCCCCTCGTGCCTGCAGCACTCGGCCGTGCCGGGATGCGCCGGGAAAGGCGAGTCCGCGCTGCAGGATTTGACCGACAGCGCCGTGGACTGCGGGAGGGAGGGAGGAGGTTACGGTCACCCCATCCCAGCTCCGGGTTTTGGGGTCCAGTACCCGTTTTTTTGGGTCACTCTCACCCCGGCATCGTAGCAGGAGGGGTCGGCCCCGTCGGCGCAGCACGTCTCGGCCAGGGAGACGATTTCCCGGACGAGGTGGGCGATCTCCTCGAAGGTGCCGTTGGAATATTTCCGGCTGTTGGCGATGATGGTCCTGGGAGCAAGGACAGGGAGAGCCAGGTGAGCCTTGATCTTCAAGCAGAAATCATGTTACAGCACTGTTCTGCACAAGTGGGTTTAACCGTGTCGGCTGCGGTGCTGCGAGAAATAACAGCGTGTTCCTTGGAAAAGAGCCAGGAAAGAACTGGAACATCTTCCAGGCCAGGGGCTGCCACTTACAGGGGACTGTGTGTCAGCTCTGTCAGAATTCTTAATTGTTTAGGTACTTGATTGCTTTTGAGGAATTCAACAACGGATCAAACCTTTTTTTCCTGCAAAAGCAATCAGAGTCCAGGGGTTGAATTGCATCTCCCCTTTTTTGAGGAATTGAATCCATCTGTCCTTTTCCAAGATTTCTATTTACTGTTTTCTGTTCTTGGCTCAGGTGTCAAGCGTCCTGGGTGGGCACCAGCAGCAGGAGGTACCTACAGGGTTCGGAAGTTCTCCTTTCCCAGCATCCTGTACTCCTGGCAGACTTTCTCCCGGACATAAGATTTCCCTGGAAGTGCAGGAGAAGGAGGAATTTTGAGTAGGGAACAAGGAATGCTCCGCCACCGCAGAACACGCTGCTTTATTCACTTGAGGTTAGTTCGTTTTTTCTCTCCATTACTTCTATTTCCAAGGGGGATTTTGTGTTCCCTGGGGAGATGTTGGCACAGCAGGTCTGGGAGAAGCATCCCTTGTATCCAGGCTGCTGCTCCAGCCCTGCAGCCAGGGAAAGGGGCAGGGAGAAAACCCTCTCTGGAGCTGGGAGAGCTACAGGTAAGTTATATGGCAGCTCTTGAGTAAGGAATATGTGGGCTTGGTTTTTATGGCAGGGCTTGGAAACCATAAGGGCTGGGAGCTCAGGGGGCAGGTCCACGGAGCAGCCAGCAGTGAAAACATTCCCAGCAATGCTGTCATCCCTGGAAAAAGGCGATCGATTTGTGTTACAGGCTCTGTGGGGTCAGACTTTGGCACCAGCAGGGTAAACAGCGTTTCCTGGGATTACAGTGTGGGGCAGGGTCACCTCCACAAAATCCAGGGGTTTGGGCTGGGGCACAGAGACTCTGCTGGGAATGAAAGAGTAGGGTGAAGGCAGGGGGCTGCCAAAAAAGGGGAAGCTATGGAAAAGGCAGATCTCTTTCCTGGCAGGAATATTGGCTGTCGGTCCCAGCTTGTGGCATTTCTGTTGATTTCTATAAAGCCATGTGGGAGAGGTGAGCTTTAGGTGGTTTTTGGCAGGTGGGCGATTCCCTGTGGAGCTGAGAAGGCAGCAAAGGGTGGCAGAGCATCGTTTCCACCAAGGGGTGAATTTTACAGAGGAATGGTGCTTGTCAGGGGGGTCAGGAGATCCCATTTTCCTTCAGGAAGAGAAGGAGCCGATCCCTGCAGCTCTGTGCTCTCCCACCTCCTCCAGCATCACCCTAAAGTGGCTCCCTGGATACCAAACCATCATCCCACCCCTTCCCTTTCCTCTCTGGTCCTGCCCAGCGGTTTGGCTGCAGGCTGGGAGAGGGGAGGCCACTGAAAACCTCTGGAAGGGAGGCCCCAGCCCCGTGCCCCTCATCCCGGGGGCCAGCAAAGCCCCGGGATCGCACCCTTACCTCGGTGCAGCGCGTGTGCAGCGGCCAAGAGCAGCAGCAGGGCCAGAGCTGCCCTCATGTTGGAGCCGGCTCCCCTTCTCCTGCTGGGAAGTGGCACCGGGAATCCCATCCCGGCGTTTTTATGGAGGCAGTGTCAGCAGCCAGGAGAATGATTAATCCCAGAGGGCAAGCATCCTTGGCCTGCCGCCTGGGGCCTGGGTGCCAGAGCCTCCGAAATCCCAACGGGTTTAAATCATTAACTCGGAAAAACAGGGATGCGTGGCCATGAAACCTCAGGATCTGTGGAGGATTCTGGGAGCAACGTGAATGGCAAGAGGAGAAAAAAGCATTCTGTGCACCCCACGAGTGGGAAGCCCTGTGCACTCGGGACAGTGTCTGATCCTCAGGAAGGAGAGACACATTTTTTTTGGATGTCAGCGATCCTTGCTGGTTCTGCCTGGGGAATTGATGAGAGGGAAGCAAGCAGAGGGGGGATGGAGATGCAACTGCTGCAGTGAGACTCCTGGCCCCCAAATCTGCTCAGCCTGCCCCTGCACCCCCCTTGGGGCCAGATGTCCCCTCTCAGACCACATCCCCTGGGATGAAGACAGAGCAGTATTTTAGGGAAAAACCCATCTTTATTTCCCAGTGCCCTGCACTGACAGTGAGCTGCAGCTTGGGACCAAATCCTGCCGAAGCAGGAGCTAACAACGCCCTGAACTCGATGGTTTATGTGTGAAAGGTGAAAAATAAATAATCAGGAACTCATGGAATGGGCTCCTCTCCTGGACGAACTCTTCCTGTCGTGCTTTCCTGTGGCCGGGGAGGGTGTGGGGCAGCGCCCAC